GGGTGGGGGCGTTAAACGTAATCACCAGTCTGGCCTTTCAACATTCTGGGGCAAAACTGAGGAAAATCGGGTCCGCGAAGTCTGCCGCCGGCTCGGGGGAAATGCGTAGGCAGCGCGGTGCAGGGCTGCTGAGGGCGTGGGTAACAAAACCGAAGGAGGGAGGTGCTGCCACAGCCCTCCCGGCGCTGTGGGGAGCCGAGGCCTTCCCGGTGCAGCCCGGCTTCCCTGGCGCCCAGGCTCCCTAAGGCGCTCGTACAAAGCCCTCCCCAAAAGCCTGATCTGCACTTCGTGCCTTTTGTGGTTTAAAGATTAGTTAAAAGATCAGCTTAATAAAACATCATAGTTTCTTCATTGATGGGGTCCCGCAAAGGTGGCTGTCGAACCTGGTGTGTTGCCAGTTTCCTGATTAATTCAGTGGAAGCGGGAGAGGGCGAAGTGGCCAGTTTTGTTGGTGATACTGGCACAGTGTGGAAATTGCCGTTGCTTCTCATGTTTGAATTTAATTTGCCTTTTTATTTCATGTTAGTAAATATGAAATAATGCATCTGGAAGCAAAAGGAATACGATGTGTCATCAGTGATGCACTTTGAACTGCTCTCACTCAAGAAAGATTTTTTTTTTTAAATTATAACAACGTAGTGTTTAGTAGATGTCATAAAATCAATGGGTTGGTACTATAATCAGGAAAGAAATAAGGATAACCCCCCCCAAAATCCTCTCAGAATATTGTATAATACACACTGCACCCAGATCTTCAGTACTGTGTGGTTTGGCTCCCTCTATCATAAGAAGTTACAGTGGAATTGGAAAAGAGAGAAAAGCAGAGGGCCAGGGATGCTTAAAGTGAAGACTGTCAATGGGGTGGGAAAAGAGATCGTTTTGAGGGAAGAGGGGGAATGCTGAAGGTCTGTTAAATGACAAGTGATATGCAAGTAAATAGTGGATGACAGTGAAAGAGAGTTATATATTTCTTAGTTAATTGAGAGAGTTCACTGGGGCAGTCCTGCAGGACTCCGTGCAAAAGCTTATGCATTTAACAGCTGACGCTGCTTGTTCTGGTGAGGGAATTCTGAGGCCCCAGTACGATTTTTAGATTCCAAGTTTAAGTCAAGAAAAAGCAAGCACAGTGCTGCTTTAAACCAGCGCTTTCCTGCCTGTGTGTTCACCTGAAAGTTGCTGAAAGTTCACAGGGCTTAAAAAAAAATGACAGAAATATTCGTGTAAGAAGAATTTTGAAGGGCTGTTCATAAGGTGCAACCCGGGAGCTCGCTGTGTGTTTGCCGCGTTCATGGACCTTCCTGTTGGGGAGGGGATATCAGACCAGACCGTTTATCTCCTGTAGTACCACCATTCTCGTGTTTATGTTTTACATTGGTACAGCTTTTTGGACTGAAGAGAGGAGCTGTAGACCCTGCTTTGTTTTACTTGAATGTCTGATACTTCTTTGTTCCACTCTGATGTAGTGAAAAAGTAGAAACTAAAAAAAATCCTTTAAAAATGCGTGTTTTCATCTTTTAGAGACAGAATTGATACTGCTGGTTTTGTTTTTACAATTGGAGGCTAAGTCTTTCCTGTCTTGTTTCAGCTCTGGATGAAGGAGATATTGCCTTGCTGAAAACCTATGTAAGTAACAAACGTACACAGGAGCGTTAAAGGGAAAAGAGTCCTGTTAGCAGTTGAGTGCCAGAGTGGCGAGGTGTGCGTTTAGTGAGGCGTTGGTAAATCTTACACTTGTGAAACATTTCCACTTGCGCAGTTGTTCAGCTGTGTGTAGCTGCACTTGATTTTTGTGAACAGAAATATTGTTACTGGACCTTAATACTGCCCTTTTTGGCTGTGATCAATAGTTTGCTGTTATACCAAAGCAATCTGTTGAACATCTCGATGTTCAGTTGCTATTGGCATTTCTTCCTAAACATAAAATAATCGGAGTTACAAAGTCTCTGTGAGTTACAAAGTCTCTGTGATATTTCTTTTCCAGGGCCAGAGCACATACTCGAGGCAGATCAAGCAAGTAGAAGATGATATTCAACAACTGCTCAAGAAAATCAATGAGCTCACTGGTACCTTTCTTAAGATAATTTTCAGTAGAAGAGATACGTATACCAAAATGGGTGTTTTAAGGAGCTGATTTTAAACATCTTCTGCATTGGTTTCTGCATTATTGTTATTTTTCTTTATTTGCTTTGTAGGTGATGGTCTTTTTGATTGGGCAGGGCTAACCTGTACATACCATGATAAAATGTTGTAGTTTAACACTTCTTTATTCAAAAGTATAATTTTTGTATATTATGGTAGCACGAAACAAATGCCCCTTTCTGTCCCTAGATAATTTGTTGTGATTTGTATCAAGCTGCGCTTGAGTGAACTTCTAGTGGCCTGCAAAACAAGTTATCATTAAGTAATGGCACAAGTCCTTGTATAATGAAGAAATGCGCATGGGAGCAGTCAGTGTTTAAATCAGCTGGTCAGTTATGGCAGTTACAATAAAAATCAATTTGTTCCCTAATTTTCTTTGTTTCACTGATGTGTATTTGTTGCCTTGTTGCTAATCTCTAGTGGTCCTCAGTTCTTCCAAGAAGATTGCAATTCCTATTTTCCAGTAAAATCCTTGATTCTTTCACATACATCTTGGAGATGCTACTTTAAATCCTCCAAAATGTGGATAAATATTAGGTTTTTTTTCTTAGAATAGACTAGTATTAGTTTTTCATGTGTGTGAATCCGTTAGTTTCTGGTATCTTGCACTAAAGCTTTCCTTCAATGAAAGCACTTGCAGAGTTTCACTCCTTTTCTGAAACTTTCCGAAATATGCTCATCTCTCTATCAAGCTTGGTTGCAATGAGCAACACGTTGCAAAATGGTATTAGAGGATGGCTGGTCTGGTGTTTGCACGTTCAGCTGGCACAGTCACGTAGGCCTCATTTCTTTAGGAAACGTGTTTTTTAGGAAGTTCCTCAAAGTTTGTGCGCATGTGTTCTAGAGATCTCAGAAAGCTTCCTGCGGGGTTGTGTCTGAGGGTCTTGGTGTGTGAAGGATTGCTGATGCACTTCTCTCTTGTCCACAGGGATCAAGGAATCTGACACTGGGCTGGCTCCTCCTGCCCTTTGGGACCTGGCTGCAGATAAGCAAACTCTCCAGAGCGAGCAGCCATTGCAAGTTGCAAGGTGGGTGCACCTTTACTCTTTGCGGTGGAGCTGCATAGTGTTAAAAATGTGATTTATAGTTTAAATGTAGACTTTTTTAGAAAAATAAGGTTCATGTGTTTTGTGTATTGAAAGTGCTTTTTACTGTTGCATGAAAAAGGAACTGTGTTCTGCTTGATGATGTATTACGTACCCCATGCTTGTCCTGTAATTACTGTATGATGCTACAGTGATAGAATCACAAGTACAGCAGCGATTTCAGTGTGTTTGGAAAATATGACTCTCTCATCTTGATCCTTATACAAGCCAGTTACTTTGCCTGCCTGGTGGTGTTAATTGTATGTTTGGTATTAGGTGTACAAAGATCATCAATGCGGACTCCGAGGATCCCAAGTACATTATCAATGTCAAGCAGTTTGCCAAATTTGTGGTGGATCTCAGTGACCAGGTGGCCCCTACTGACATAGAAGAAGGCATGAGAGTTGGGTAAGCACAATCTTTGTGTTCTTACGAGTTTTCCTGAAGACTGGAGCTTTCTCATCTGATCCATTACTTTGACACGTCAACAACTATCATTTGACATTTTTGCAGTGGTTGAAATTGTAGCAGTAATGGCTTTCTCTTGGAAGACAGTAACTTACTTGGATGTTGTGCTGGAATCTCTTGATTTTGATGTCATTGCGATGAGAACCTTGTATCATGGACTGAAACCTTTCACTTTGGACCTCAGTCATTCCAGCTTTCAGGGAGCCTGCATGGCCTTCTTCCCTTTTGGCAGTCTGCACAGTTACACACAGGCTGGCTGCAGGAAATGTTCCCTGTGCAGGTGAAGCCTGTTATTTCTAGAATCAATATTTTGCCAGTTTGCCCTGTGAGATATTTTGAAGTTTAGTAATCAAAATATCTTGGAATTAATATTTTTGGAAACCTTAAACTTCTCTGCAGAAGGAATGGCAGTTTCTGGCCCATCTGACTGTTAGCTTTATGGGCTGGGCTGTCTTGATGCCAGAGAAAAGAACAGTTTAAGAATTAATCTTTTAATTTACAGAGTTCTTTCTACATGACAGTTTAATTAACTGGTGTTAAAATAATAGAATTTGTGTTTTCTTACCAGGGTGGACAGAAACAAATATCAGATCCATATCCCCTTGCCTCCCAAGATTGATCCCACAGTCACCATGATGCAAGTGAGAACTGCCTTTGCTTTGTCTTGTAATTTTGATTACTTCGGCTGGATTTTGCTCTGGGCTGTCGAAAGCCTCGAGAGATGTGGCATCAGGCTGTTAACTGCTGCTCACCTTTTTGTTGTGCAGGTAGAAGAAAAACCAGACGTCACTTACAGTGATGTTGGTGGTTGTAAAGAGCAGATTGAAAAGCTGAGAGAGGTGGTTGAAACCCCTCTGCTTCACGTAAGTAACCTCCAGATTGAAACCTTTGTTATTCTGGACGTATTCTGGTTATCTGTTGCTAGCATTCGAAACAGCAAGAAAAGATGATGTACCTGAATGTAAACACCTAAGTGAGAGGAGATGGGGTTTTAACAAGCGAAATACAGCCTAACCTGGTTTATATTGCTCTTCGTTGATGATTTTCTTAATTTGCATATACTCTTGGATGCACATAATCTTTAATTTGCACATAACCTTGCCTTCTGTTTCCCACCATTACAGCCTGAAAGATTTGTTAACCTTGGAATTGAGCCTCCCAAAGGAGTGCTTTTGTTCGGGCCACCTGGTACAGGCAAAACACTTTGTGCTCGTGCTGTTGCTAACAGGACTGATGCCTGCTTCATCAGAGTGATTGGATCTGAATTGGTGCAGAAGTATGTGGGAGAGGTAAGGGCAAATACTTGATGGAGCATGGAGTGATTTGCAGATTTCCAGTTGTGGGACCAGACGCTGTATGGGTGTGATGGATGAAGGTACTTACGTGCTGGAGATACAGGGAGGGGGGAGAAACTGTCAAACAAATCACTGCAGATTGGGCAGTCACTTGTAAGACCTGAAATTTGCTGTCATTGATGAAATGCATTTTGCAGCACAGTTTAATCTGCAGTCTGGGAGGGCTCTAGGATTAGAATTCTGTTCCCAACTCAGCCACTTATTTTTCATGTGGCCTTGAGGTAAATGACTTCATCTGTACTTCTGAATTTGAGAGTAGTCACTTCTCTCTCCTTTATAAATGGCTTTCAGATTTATGAAGGTTCTGTTAGACATGTGTGCAAATAAAAGAGTTTTATCGTTGGAAACTTGGAAGTGTTTGTAAGCATGAAAAATTGAGTTTTCATAGTTTTCCTTTAATATGCCTGGAAGCTTTAGCACAATCCTGATTTTTGCTTTCAGGGAGCTCGAATGGTTCGTGAACTCTTTGAAATGGCCAGAACTAAAAAAGCTTGTCTGATATTCTTTGATGAAATTGATGCCATTGGAGGTATGTCTGTATATGGATAGCTCTAATGTCATGTGAGAACTTCCAGGTTTTCTTTTCATGTTGTAATTCTTTATCTGTATTGCTGCGTTTCAGGAAATGGGCTCGTAAACACCTATTTAGTAAAACTACTGTTAGCACATGCCGTGTGTGGGAAGCTATCAAGAAGTGGTTTATATAGTCTGAACTTATTTAACCCCGATGAAAAGTCATTTTTGCATGTGTGGAATACCCAGATTAAAGCTTCAGTGAGGAATCTCTGTATTGTCTGTTAGCTTAAACCCTTAAACAGCCTCTGGACTACATACTAAATCTTTATTGCTGCCTGAAAATTAAATAATGTTTTTTTTCCTCAAAGGAAGTACTTGGGTCCTTTGAAAGTAGAACAGTTTTTACATAGATAAAGGGTAGGAGGATCTTGGTTGAGGGGAGGCAGAACAAACAAGCTGCATGTATAGATTTCAGCAGCTGGGCCAGTTCTGAGGCAGGGAGCTGGGCCCTTCCATGCTAAGGACGAAGATGCCTGTTACAACTGACAGCTCACACCACTCTCTTTGAAATGTGTTGTTTTCAGATAACCGCCTCACACCTTTTTTAAACTGGTCACAAATACTTGTATGTAATTAAGGCTTATTTTCCCAGGGGTCTTCTGTGTAGCAGCTGTGACACCTCCACGCTCTGAAGGCCTCTCTCTCATTTTGTGAATTGCGTGTCTCCTCTCTCCAGGTGCTCGTTTTGATGATGGGGCTGGGGGTGACAATGAAGTGCAGCGAACCATGCTGGAGCTGATCAACCAGTTGGATGGGTTTGACCCACGAGGCAACATCAAAGTGCTGATGGCTACAAACAGACCCGATACTCTGGATCCAGCCCTGATGCGGCCTGGCAGGTTGGATAGGAAGATAGAGTTTAGCTTGCCTGATCTTGAGGTGAGAGTGCTTTCTTTCACAGCTGAGCATATTCTGTTTCCAGAATGTTTCTTCAGTGAGGGCATTATTTTCTGGAAGCAGTTTGAGAATTAACAAAAGCAGCTCTCTTAATTTACATTAAACTACATGGAAATTTGGGGGATTAAAGATGTGCCTAAAATGTTTTTCCACACCGCACAGATTCCATCCCTGGCTGAGAAGCCAACGTAAGTAGCTTTATTCACTGTATATTCCTGACTCGACTGATAAAGAATCCTTTAACCAGTTCTGTGATTGAGTTCTTAAGTTTGATTACATTTTGTTTGGCTCTTTTGAGAGAGATTTCTTGAGGTACTTCCATCATTAAAGCTTTTTTGAAGTTATTTTCTTGATTTAGTATCGTGGACACTTAAACACGCTACTCCAGACATAGCATCTATAGTAGGGCAGCAAACGTATTTTCCATCGGCGCTTGCTCTGGATGTGGACAACTGCGTGCATAGCATCATCACCTCTTTTACAGCATGAACACCTCTGTCCTCTGCTCTTTTTTCAGGGGCGAACTCACATATTCAAAATTCATGCTCGTTCAATGAGTGTTGAGAGAGACATAAGATTTGAGCTGTTGGCTCGACTGTGTCCTAACAGCACAGGTAAGCTCATTTTTGTTTTCTTTTAACAATTTTATATATGCTTCATCTTCGGTGGTGGTCAGTGTTGAATTCATTTATCCCTTTTCTTTCAAAGGTGCTGAGATTCGCAGTGTTTGCACAGAGGCAGGCATGTTTGCTATCAGAGCACGTCGAAAAATCGCCACAGAGAAAGACTTCTTGGAAGCAGTGAACAAAGTTATTAAATCGTATGCGAAATTCAGTGCTACTCCCCGCTACATGACCTACAACTAATACCTTGGGATGTTACTCCCGTTCCTGTAGTTAAACTTTCTGTGAAACAAAAATGCAAGTGTAGTAATTCGCATCTTGTCCTTGGGAAGCTAGAAATAAATGGAGTATACCAAACAGTAGGTGTGAGTTCATTGTGTGTTCTACACTAGTGGAGTATTGCTGCTGTTGGAAAAAAAATCTCCCTGAGAGGCTAATAACATGGCCTAGACCGGGATATTTTCTAGATCAGATGTCTGGACAAGCCAAAGTTTAGCTCTCCAGTTGCCCTTTACACCCCAAAATGTATCACCTTGGCAGTGGAGGCACTGAAAGAGCCCCAGGTGACTGTAGTGTTTCTGGGTGCTCAGAAATGCTCAGGTGATGCTCAGCACCGAGGTGTAGGTGTATCACAGGAAAACATGAGCTGAGAAGGCGTTTGTATCTCAGCTTGGGCGCTTAATTCTGAGTCACTGCCCCAGGTGGGGAAGATGTGAAGGGGTGTGTTTTCTCTCAGGGGGTGAATGTTTTGGTACCACACAGAATCACAGAACGTTAGGGATTG